AAATTGGAGCGGCTGCTATAGGGCTCGAGAGCCCGATTTTAAAGTATTGTTACGCTCGATTCTCATTCCGGACCGAACAATCGAACGGGGGCTCGCGAAAATACCGGCGATTTTGCGCAGCAAACACAACTTGCTGTTTCTCAACGACTACTCGGAGTCAACTGCCCTCTTGACCTGTTGCGAATTAGTCGAATTAGCTCTCTTTGCCCGGGAGAGTAATAGAGTGTTGCATTCCGGCGAATAGATCGGCGTTGCGACGCGGTTACGTTTCTTTCACTTTGTATAATAGGTATAATAGGTTCTTTGAGGATTTCATTGTGTCACAGAGTGTGATTTTTAAGATGTTTTAATTTTCTTTTCAGAGACAATTATATTGTAGTTTATTTGGGAGAGTAGTATTTGTAGTAGATAACAATTTAGGTCAAAGAAGAAACTTCGTTATAAGTTTCTTTTCGCAAGCTCGCTGCTCTGAACTCTGTGCAACTATGAAACTGTCGAATCTGAACTGGGGAAACTTGCCAACTAACCGAATTCGACGCATTATACAGAAGTTCGAGCCTAAATGCAGGGGAAAACTCGAGTAATATTTTCATAGAGCGTCTCAACTATCGATCCGGTTTCCGGTGGAATTGAGCGAAGAATTTTGCGCGTGGAAATTTTCGAAGTTGCGAAGAAATGAATTGAAATCGACCGTTGATGCGGTGCAGACACCAAATGGGAGGGGAAAGTTGTCGGTGGAGAAAAAAGAAAGGTTAATATGCAAACGACAGTTTTGGCAGCCCCGGTAGTTTGATGGAAGTGACGCTCGTTAAGAGGTGAGGTGGGACTTCAATGAGCGCTTATACCGACGCCCCCGATTGATTCTGCTCTTCGTTTAAAATTTAAATTTCTCATTAACGGACGCTTCATGAAAGAACAAGCATTTTGCCGCTTTGCCTTGTCGAAACGAACAATGACTTGTGAAATTGAAATTTTCGTTCAGAAATTTTTAAATATTCAAAACTTTCAATACTCTCGAATATTCTAAATTGTTAACAATTCAAATATTCTAGCTTTCAAGTGTTTAACTTTAAAATTTTCAAATATTTAAATTTTTAAATTGTCAACGATTTATTATTTTTAAATTGTCAAGGATTCGTAATTTTTAAATTGTCAAGGTTTCATAATTTTCCCAACTTCCTACATAAATGAAATATGAACGATATCTGAATATTAATAATCTAAGTATTCGTTGAAACGTATATTTGAAACCTTGAGACACAACGATTCTCTTCCCTCGTTTCATAGCGGAACGGTAGCGAATATCGAGTTTAATTGACTACGGTTAATTTATAGGTTTACCGAGAGCCCTGTTGCTGGAAACTGTCGGCGCCTGTCCAGCAACAACATCGGAGCGCCGATAAATTTCTGTTATTGCGCGGGATTAAAGATAATCGGATGAAAAAGTTAAATATTGTCGCACCACGCTGCCGCTCGTTAATATTCTCCGCCCCTCTTTTATATTCGCGTTCAGCGGTTCGCGTGTTAGACGAGTCGATTTACTCCTGTTTGCAACTTTCTTTTTTATCCCGACAAAATCGCTGTGAAAATAATACAAAACACGCGACGAACACGACACGTACGTCACTCTACCGACTAAACTTGAACGATAAATTAAATTAGAGTTATTCAATAACCGTGTAAAAATAAAATAATCAAAGTGTACTCACCTTCGTTATCGATGGAGAAGATCCCGATGCCGTCTCCTCCTCTAATGGTGTATCCAATCCTCGAGTCACTTCCCAGCGGATCAGCATCCTTAGCGTGCACAGTAGTCACCAAAGTCCCGATCGGTTGATTCTCGAACACATTCGCGGACACGACAAAATCGTCGAACACAGGCGCGTGAAGATTCTCGTTCACGTCGACCACGTCTATGATAACCATCGTTTCAGAGGACAAAGACGGTTCACCCCTGTCTTTAGCCACTATCGTCAACGTATGCACCTGACGTTCCTCGAAGTCCAAATTCTGCGTGGTCCTGATCGTACCTGATACTTTGTCCACCTTAAAGTAACCTTCGCTCTCCATAGCGTCGGACAGGAAGTACTCGATGTCACCTCCGGCGCCTTCGTCAGGGTCGATGGCGTCCACGACCGCGACAACGGTCCAAACCGGCACGTCCTCGCGAATCTTCACCGTGTAACTGGGTAAGGCGAACGTAGGAGCATTGTCGTTCACGTCGTCCACGGTGACGCGAACCAAAGCGTCTGAGTACAACGGAGGCGTGTCTGTGCCTTTGCCGCCGTTATCCTGCGCGCGTATTCTCAACTCGTAGATCTCCTGTCGCTCCCTGTCCAATCTGCCGAAAACGCTCAGCACGCCAGTCACCGGGTCCACGCGGAAATCGTTCGTCTCGGTCACCAGGGAATAAGTGACACGCGCGTTCTCGCCGAGATCCGCGTCAGTCGCGTTCGCCCGCCACACGTTCGTTCCGTTCAACGCGGTCTCCGAGATCCGGAAGCTCGCCAGGGATTTCTCGAATTTCGGCGCGTTGTCGTTCACGTCGAGAATCGTAACCGGCAACATCTTCGAGGCGCTCTTCTGAGGCTTGCCCAGGTCGTACACGCTGATATTCAGGAAATATTGACTCTCTCGTTCCCTGTCCAGGTAGCCTATCACGTTCAAGTCACCCGTGTCCGGATCTATACCGAACACAGAGTCCCTGTCACCGCTGGAAATACAGAAGACCAGTTTCCCGTTGTAATCCAAGTCCCTGTCTCTAGCTCGTATCCTGACCAGCGTCGTTCCTATCTTCACGGATTCGTTCGCCTTGATCTCACTGGGGAAGTCGATGTATTCGGGTGCGTGCACGTTCTCCCCGTATCTACTCGGAGTGAGAGTGTACTCGTCGTCTTTCGACGGCATGTTGTTCCTCTCCGCGAGAGCAATAGCTTCGGTTATCCTTCGAGCGACGCCGGTGTCTTTGCACTCGAACGCTCCGCTCTGATCTGATATTATTCTTCCCTGCGATCCTAGGTTCCTCTTAGCGTTCACCAGGTGCATGTGTACAGGGTTGACGTCCGCGAAGTGCGAGCCATCCGTAGCGGTGACGTTCACTACTCTCTCGGTGACTTTGATGTCGGAAAGATCGCAAGCTACGGACAGTACACCGCTGGCGGAGTCCAGCGCGAAGCAACCGTCCTCGTTCCCAGAGACGATGCGATAACTGATGATGTTACCGGCGTCGAAATCGATCGCTGACACCGTGATGATCTCCGAGCTTATGGGCACGTACCTGGGCACGTGGCCGGTGCATTCTATCCTCTCGAATTGCGGCCGGTTGTCGTTCACGTCGCGAACCTTCACGTGCAATTGCATCTCAGCTTGTCTCCTGTACGGCAGACCCCAGTCGCTGACTCTTACATGCAACAGATACTCCCTCTTCATGGTCTCGTAGTCGAGCACCTGCTTGGTCTTCACGATACCGGAGAAATGGTCGATCTCGAACGGCACCTTTTGGATATTGTCGATGCTGTACGAGATGTAGGCGTTCTCGCCGGAGTCACGGTCCTTCGCGGTGATCTTCACGACCGCGCTTCCAGCCGGCTCGTTCTCGTCGATCCACACCTCCATCTCGGACTGCTCGAACGTCGGATCGTTGTCGTTCGTGTCTACCACGTTGATCTTCACCTTCGCCGACGACTGTTTCCTCGTGCCGGCGTTCCCCTGGTCCACCGCCGATATCGTCAACGTGTAGAACGCCTTCTTCTCCGCGTCCAGGTTCACCGCGGTGTACAACATGCCTGTCTCCGCGTTCACGTAGAATTCTCCGCCCTCGTTGCCACCCACGATCTCCAGGAACACCAAAGCGTTCCTACCTTCGTCCGCGTCGGTCACTTTCAAACGTATGACCGGCGTGTTGATGGGAGCGGTCTCCGGTACTTTCACGTCGTAGATCTCGCGGCTGAACACAGGCGCGTTGTCGTTCAAATCGGCCAGATGGACGGGCACGAATTTGTAGCTGAAACGCTGAGGCACGCCCCGGTCCATCGCGCGCAGCGTCAAATTGTAGCCTTGCACGGCTGTCTCCCGGTCGAGCAGGTGCAACACCTCGATGTTGTATTCGCCAGAGTGCGGCCCGCCAGCTGGCCGCACCCTGAAGTGACCGGCTGGATCACCGCCCACGATGTCCAGGCTCGCGATCTCGCCGTGAACACCCTCGTCGTTGTCGACCACGCGAACGATCGCGTAGATGTCCGCGTTCGAGTGTTCCACGATGTCCGGCAAGTGATGCACGTAGATTTCGGGAGCGTGAAGGTTCACCTGCCGCACTTTTATCGTTACTTTCGCTGTGCTGGCTCTGTTGCTGCCTCCGCTGCGGAACAGCGCGCCGCGGTCCTTAGCTAGCACCACCAGCTCGTGGATCGCTTTCTCTGAGTATCTGAGTGGAGAAGAGACGGATACGTTTTTTTTTTTCAGAGGGAGAAATTCAAATGTATTTAGAAGAATTTGATGGTGTATCATTTCCATTGGAAATAACCGATGCACTAAAATAGGCGATCAAAGGTATTTCAAAAATGTCGCGCAACTCTACTCGAGATAAACCTCGTCTATCCTGTCAAACACGAAGTATACTTATAAATAAGCGAAACCACTTTGAAACCTCCATCTACGGCACAATTTTTCAACCTCGAACCTGACACGCTTTCAAACTTTGATCGCCCATTCCGAGACCACTCTACATACTTCACGACCTAATATTCACTTCGGGCAACAAGCGAAGAAACCCAAACAACCAATCAGACCGGTGAAA